GCTAGCTGGTTCTCACAATGATACAGGGTGAGTATGTGCTAAATACTTTGTTTGGTCTGGAAATGTCTGGAACGGGTATGGAACAGGTATGGAATGGGTATGGAACGGACACCCAGCTCAACATCACTTTTCACGTATTGCGTTCGTTCGGGGACTTGATCCGGAGCTCTGGATCGGGGTCTGGATCGGGATGTGCACTCGCCTTTGTTCCGGACCTTTCATATCGAGCGGTAGCCACTTATCCAGTCTAGTTCAACTCGCGTTTGTTGAGTCACGAGCCAACCAACAGACAACCTTCCTGCGCGCGTCAGCAGGAAATCTAATTTGCCTCTGCAGGTGCATGTTTTTGGGAGTGGGGTTGGTTCCGTGCTCTCGGCGTGGACTTTAAGTGCTGTTTGGGCTACTCTGTGGTGCTCTTGACATTCGTCTTCTTCTTCTTCTTCAGTTTTCTCCACGCGTTTTACATTGATTGGGCTCTGCCCCTGTGGCCCAGGCACGATGGCCACTTCGAAGCCAGCACCCGCCATGTCCACCTCCATCTGATCGCTGAAGCCCGCGCGCTGCAGCTTCTGGCACAGGACAAAAATTTGGAGCGCACGAAGACTGTAAGCCCTTTGCCAGGCGCACCAAATCCATGAACGCACCCACCACATTGGTGACTGCAATGGAAGTGACAAAAGCGGCCAAGGGCGGTATGAAGCCTGGGGTGGTGATCAGCCGCCATGCCTGGCAACAAACTTGCAGGATATGCACATGCCTTGTCCATTGTCAGAACACTCACAAACGAGACAAAAGCACCTCTTTGGGGAAGCTATCTTCAGGCTTTGAAGCCTCCTTGGCGCCTCCCACCTGCAACAAGTCTGGCTTCTCAACGTCCAGCACAAATTGGATCGGGAGCCTCTGTTTTCAAGGCCCCAGAAGACTTTTCTGCCAGCAATTTCTCCAACTCCGAGGCTGACCTCAAAAGCAGTCCTCCCATGCCCACAGTGCTATGTTGCTACATGTTATTCAACTTTGACATCAGTCCACTAGCTGCACCGCGGCGGGATAGCCCCGTGGTCACTGTGAAATCCCTCTGCAACCGTAGGATCCTTCAGGAAATTTTCCTTTGTACCTGCTATCCTTGGGCTGTCAACCATGGAATTTCGAGCCAAAACCCAGAGGTACCAACCTCAAGGCCCGTGAATCCTTGAAGACCCATGCTTTGAGAAGCCCTAAACCTTAAACGCTATGCATGTCCACAGCTCAAGAGCTCCTACGCCTAAGATATATCCGTATCTATATATATATACACATATATACATATATGTGCATGAACGGATATATTGGATAGATAGCTTTATCCGATGTTTCGCCCGATCGAATATCTGATTATTTATATACACGACATCGCAGGCTCTCTGAGCGTTGCTGCGGTGGAGTTGGTGGTCGCTCCTGGAAGAAGACCCTGAGAGCAGGGACGCAGCGAAGAAGTGGCGTTCATCATAAACGTCCAAAAGGTCAGCAACGAAAACGTGATTGTGATGCTAGCCATATAGTAGCTGTACCATGCTTCGAAGAACAAGTGCTGATGCGCAAACCCTCTAATGTGATCTGCTTTTACTCATACCAGGCAGGCAAAAAGCTGGATTCACACTTCACTCCAGCACATCTCCTTCTGAGCTCCGGGCAGTGAGGCCGCAGCCACCAGCGTGGACAGCAAGGTGATGATGACGAAGTAAGTCTGCATCCAATGCGACTCCCTGCCCTCTACCTCTCCACCTCCCTCTTGTGAAGTACCTTCAGGCCCGCTTCTGACCCTCCCATAGCTCCGCCAGCGATAAAGGCGGCAGCGATGCCAACCTCCGCGTTCCCAGGTCCCGTTGTGGCAGAACGACATTACCTCTGTCAGCGTGTCAGTGTAGAAGGCCTGGTTGAAGTTGATGGCTACAGCCGTGGACATGGCTCTTTCCTCGGCATGCGAATCTGTGGAAATAGACCTGGCTCTGACAGCTTCCAGGCAAGCTTCGTCCGGCGCGAACCAGGTTGCTGACAGCAGCGGTGGGGTGCACTGAAAGAAGGGCTGCGCTACCTGGGCTGGAGGAAGGTAGGCAGCAAACAAAATGACAAGGATGTAAGACCCACGCGGCTACGAGCATGGTCCCTGCAACAACAGTATTGTATCCTGAACGAGTCTGGATGGAAAAGCTTTCAAAAAAAGAAGTCAGTGGTGGGGAGCCTGGGAGCTCGTCACCTTGGAACGGCATGCCTGATCGCAGCCAGCACCCAACTGCCATCAGCCTGCACTGATTTGAATGGCTTCGTCTGATACCAGCTGCAGTGCAAAGGGATGCATGGAATCGGTGTATCGCTTGGGTCCAAACAAGGCTGCACCAACGATGGGGGTGCGCAGCCCGAAGTTCCGGATGATCTGAGCCACAGCATCTGTAAGTCAAACGTAACCCACTGGCATTTCAATGTCACACTTCAAGCATCTGAGCCGGTCCACGAAGGGCTCGATGAAGCAAGCGAAGACGTTTGTGAACAGAAATATGTCGATTAACGTGGCTGGATCCTGACAGAAATGGATGTGAAGCTCAGGTCTGAATCTTGCATACAAACATCCAACAGAATCCAAAAACGCGTTTTGCTAAAAGCTTCCTACCTGTGTTTGTGTGGCTCCCTCCTTCTTTTTATTACTATTATTCTTTGCCTTTGTCTTTGCCTTCTTTTCTTGCTATTCTCTTGTTTCTTCTGAATACCAGCCCCAAGTCGCGGACTCGTCGTTCCCATCTTCACAAGGCCACAGTTTACCAGCTGAACACTGCTCTCAAGATCTGGCTTCGAGCTTTGCCAGGACGAAACGCTGCCAAAACATATGAAGCCGCAAAGAACGTGCATCCCAGCATCCCGAGTCCAACAGTATAGACTGATTGACTTCATCCTTTCTTGCAGCGCACCTGTTCTCCTACTTGCTGTTGGAGGTGGGTCTAGTGTTGTTCGCCGCTCTGGCCTGAATGATCTCCCACCCACGACTCCACTGCAGAACCGCAACCAAAACGGCGCAGCGATTGCTGTTCGCAGTTTTGCGACAAAGCAGCTTGACATGCTGATGTGAGGCAAGAGTGACAACAGGGCCAAGTCTTGTTCCTCTGGGCGGGCAGTACGGAAACCACAAAGCATGAGCACAAGTCTGACGTTGAAGTTGCACTACACTCTTCTTCTTGTTGCATGGATTCTTTCATGAGGGCCGAAAGGGTCGCTGGCATTGCAATTGATGGGCCGTAGCCATCCTTCTGGGTCTGTACAGTTAGTCGCCACGCTACAGATCTTGCTGACAACCTTTGTCAGGGGGCACGTGGTCAATCTACGTCTAGCAGCGCTATCTGCTTGTGGTGTTCAGCAGGGTCATGATTTATCCTGGACAGAAAAGCTGTCTTCATTTCGCATTGACGCAGCATCTCTGAATCAAGCCAGCCTTCATTGTTGTAGATGTTGAAATAACAAAGCGGGTCACCGTGAGAGTGCGCTTGTTCCGCATGTTCTATCCAATTAAGTGTAATGTTCTAGTGATTTAGTGGGAAAATTGCACTCACACGGTCTCCCGGTATCTTTTTGGTAATTTTCAAGAAACCAAAAGAAGAAAAAAATCGGGAGTCCCACAATTGCCGGCTCCTTTTTGGTTTTTTTGGTTTTGAAGGCATCCACACGTGTAGCAATTATACACGACATTCACAATCAACTGTGGTTTCCTAATGGAATGTGCATAAACATGTTGGGCCTGCTCTCAATATTGCCAATAGGTCAAAAGCATGGGCTCGAAACAATCCCATCTCTAGTAGAAAAATAATGATAATAATGAGAGTAATTGTGAGTAATAGTGAGTAATAATGAGAATAATGATAATGATAATAGTGATAAGAAAGTGTATGAGGGTAATAATGGAAATTGTATCATTAATAGTAATGATGGGAAATTTTGTAATGTTATTAAAAATAATCGGAGGAATATAAATAACATTACTAATTGTCGTAAGGATGGTAGAATGGTAGTAGAAGTTAGTAGTAGTAGTAGTAGTAGTAGTAGTACGTGTAGCAGTAGTAGTAGTAATAATAGTAGTAGTAGTAGGAGGAGGAATAGTAGTAGTAATAATAATTAATGATAATAGTAAGGTAAATATAACATATAACAACAAAAATAGTAGCAAGAATAATGTTAGTAATTGTACAAATATTTAAAGGACCGGAGAACCCCACATGTGTAATTTAACCCGGTTTTAAATGAGATACTATTCGGATACCGTCGCCCGGCGATATGAGAAGACAGGTATAAAAGAGTGCAAACTCTTGAGACCGCATTCTGCCGCGAAACGACGAGCACTTTGCGCGAGCGATATGCATATGATCACATGTACATTTCGCATATGGCTTATTGCCATACGGGGTATATGAAGATATATATGTCTATACCTATGTTCAATAATTACACAAACGTGGGCGCGCACGTGTGTGTGTGTGGGCACCCATGTC